CGGTGTGTCCTATTACATTGATTATTCAAACAATAAATAGCACTGAATGTCTATGCTCAGTTTCCGATTTGGGTTTTGCCTGTGCAGACTGCATTTATAGTTAGAGATGTAACCAACATGAAAACCAGAGAGCTGTCTATGGGTGAAAATTGTGAAGCTGAGAGAATATGGAAAATCAACAATAGCCATTGCACAATCATTGGCCATAGCCAGTACAACCATTTGGAATGTCCTGAAGAAGAAAGAAACCACTGGTGTACTAAGTAACAGACGTCGAATGGGCAGACCAAGGAAAACAGCAGCAGTGACGACAGAAACATTGTGAGAGCTGTAAAGAAATACCCTAAACTGTTAGTGACATCAGCAAGAACCTCCAGAGGGCAGGAGTGAAGGTATCACAATCTACTGTTCGCAGAAGACTTCATGAGCAAAAGTACAGAGGCTACACCAGAAGATGCAAACCACTCATTAGAAGAAAGGCCAGGCTGGAATTTGCCAAAAAGTGCAGAGACAAGCCTCAAAGATTCTGGGAAGTTTTATGGACTGATAAGACAAAGATGAACCTTTACCAAAGTGATGGAAAAGCTAAAGTTTGGAGAAAGAAAGGATCTGCTCATGATCCCAAACATACAATCTCATCTGTGAAACACATTGAAGGTAATGTCATTGCTTGGGCTTGCATGGCTTCTTCTGGGACAGGCTCATTAATCTTCATTGATGATGTAACACATGATGGTAGCAGCAAAATGAACTCAGAAGTCTACAGAAACATTTTTGTCTGCCAATTTTAAGAAAGATTGCAACCAAACTGATTGATAAACGGTAAACAGACCTGTACTTGTATAGCGCCTTTCTAGTCTTCCTACTACATGCCACATTCTCCCTTTCACACACAAAGCCCATCGAACAGAAACTAACACATTCATACACGTTCACACAGTGATGCACAGCATCAGGAGCAATTTGGGGTTCAGTATCTTGCTCAAGGATACTTCAACATGTGGCAGGAGCAGCCAGCGATCGAACCAACAACCTTCCAATTAGGAGACGACCCGCTCTGCCTCTGCACCATAGCTGCCGGATGGTCCTTCATCATGCAGCAAGATAATGACCAAAAACACACTGCCAAAACAACAAAGGAGTTCATCAGGTGCAAGAAGTGGAAGGTTTTAGACTGGCCAAGTCAATCTCCAGACTTAAACTCTATAGAGCATTTTACCTGCTAAAGAGGAGACTGAAAGGAGTAACTCCCCAAAACAAACAACTGAAAGAGGCTGCAGTGAAAGCCTGGAAAAGCATCACAAAAGAAGAATGCAGAGGTTTGGTGATGTCAGTGGGTCACAGGCTTGATGCAGTTCTTGCAAGCAAAGGATTTGCAACTAAATATTAAGGCTTATTCACTTTAATCTATTTAAGTCTATCTGTTCTAATACTTCTGCTCAACTAAAAAATTGGTGTTCCGTTACAAATAATGCTATGTTCTAAGTTGTGTATCAGGTCCAGATGTAAATACCTGGAAATAAGAGGTGAAATGTTGATCTCTTGTCTCATATTCATATTTTGATGTCAAACCCAAATGTTTTCAGTCGACAGCAAAAATAAAGGAATTGGCCTCACTGTTCCAATACTTTTGGAGGGGGGTGTATACATATCTGAGTACAGGAGGAAACTGACTGGGGTTACAAAAGGGGCGATTTTTACAAACCAGTAGCTTACTTTTTCTCCTCCATGGCAACATTTGGATAACTGAAGTAGATAAACTTGTTTCATAGTTTCTTTCCATCAGTTTTGCCTTGCCTGTCATTTACCAGAATGATTAAAGATGCATTAATTGATCTGGAACATTTCAATTGCTATACTCCCCTTATAGCCCAGTTCTTGGTCTCAGCTCCTGAGGGAATATCTGGCTCTCAAGCTATTAAATACTTTACTATGTTTATCAGCTAGTCACTGTTTGCTGTTTGGTGGTGTCTGGTCTGAGACTGAACCAAAACAGTGAAGTTGTGGGCTGTAAAATCAAAACAATGAGCTGGGAGACTCTAAGGAAACTCAGTGCAGCTGAATGTAACTTATAATACTTTTCCGTGCGTTTGTCAGTATAAACAACCTCTTTCAGTCTACACACAATCACTTGACCCAATGTTCATATAAAAATATTGAACACCCGCTTTCTGCTCTGTGCTGTAAAACAAAACAGCAAATTTTGCTCCATTATGATTTGTTGACTCAGAATAATATTTGTTGGTTAACAGTAATTATACTCATGTCTCAAACTGAGTGTGGTAATGAGTTAGTGATGCTACACACTGTTGCGTCTCAGCATCACTGCCCTTCTGACTTCTTTGTTCCCTGACTGTGTTTTTGGTTTCTCTTTCCTCAGCATTTGGCTCTCTGCCCTGTCTGGCTCAGACTTGTCCTTGTAATGTCAAATCTACTTCATGCATTGACCTGTCCGTGTCAGAGCCCGGGCCCCGGCCGTCGTCCCGTCCCCGCATCCTGCTCAAGGCTCCGACTCTGGCCGAGATGGAGGAGATGAACATATCTGAGGTGAGGCCAGACAGCAGCTCCAACACGGAGATACTGGAGAGGTGTGGCAGAGGGGTTCATTGGAATCATTTTTGCGTCTCTTAGGGCTGACTGCTGTTTTTCACAGCACATGCTTTGTTTCCCAGCTTAACTGGGTTAAGATGCTTCTGTGCATTTACAGGAGGGCACAGAGTGGAAGTGAAACAATCACTGAGATGAATCCTATTTTGCACAAAGAATCAACAACTTGGGAAATGGTCTCTTTTTCCCCCCCTCTCTTGTTGTGTTGCATCAACCATCAAAACTTGATAGCGTCTTTCTTCCGTACAATTCAGTATTTCAAAAAATCTCCTCAGTGGCCCAAAGGGGGAGCTAGCTGCAGGTCAAAACTAACTTCTGTTCCATCCAGGGGGAATAACATGTTTACTGATGCCTTTTCACTGCCTTCTGTTTTCTTTTTCACCTCAGTTTCACATTTTGTATTGTTTTTCTCATTTGTATGCACTGCAGGTAAGCCAAATCTAGGTTACAGCTCATCCTCCAACTTCTTCTTCTCTTCCACTTTATCACCTGGAAGCTGATATTTTATAGAAGACACAAACACAGCCCCAGGCTCCTTCCATCCAGTAGTAGAGTCTTTCAAGCTCTATGAAGCCTCTGTCCAGCAGCACAGTAGTGGTAGAAAGTAACTAAGTACATTTTACTTTAGTACTGTACTTAAGTAAAGTAAAATGTAGATGTACTAGTACTTTACTTCAGTATTTCCATTTTCTTTTTTCTTGTTTTCAGAACAAAAGGCTTACAGTGTTACAAATCTGGTATGTTGTTAACAGTTGCTAGAAACAATAGGCCAGACCCCCCCCTCCCCACATATAAACACAGTTAAACAAATGAAAGGACATTTGACAGGAGTAATACATGGCTGTAGAAAAAAAGATTAAATTAAAAAACAAAAACAATAGTATTACCAGTGACAGCATCTTATAGAGTCAAATACAGTGTCTTCTGACTCTTATAGCTAGATAATGGTACAATATGATCTAAGAAGTATTAAATAATCTTTTATGTGGCACTAGGCATAATTTGCTTCCATTCTGAGGGGTATTAGCCGTTCAACAGAATGTGTATAAGCTCTAATATAATCTAGGACGGGGTTCCAGATCTTGAAAAATGAGCCTTCATTATCTCTAAGGACCGTACTCATCCTCTCATGAGGTAACACATTGAAATTCTCCCAGTACCATAATGTTACTGTGGGTGGAGTATCTTTAACCCATTGTAACAGGATGCATTTACGATCAAGGAGTAAAAGCTTATCAAGCAATTTGTAGTTATTATGGGAGGGTTATACTTCTTTAAAGGCCAAACCTAGTATGAATAGCCCTGAATCCTTCCTTACTGTAGCCTTAAAGATCTCTCTCAGCTCTCGAGCTATGTGATTCCAATATCTGCTGATCTGACTGCACTCCCAGTAGTGGTGAAAATGAGGTCTGTTTTACACTTACGACAAATGGGAGAAATGGTTCGATATATCTTGTGGAGGGTAAAAGGCACTATAGGATAAGATGTTCCTTTATTGATTCCCCATAGAGGAAATTCAAATTTGGCACAGCAGCACAGGGGAAATGTAGTGCAACAAGTATAATTAAAAAGAATAATAAAAAAATAAAAAAATATATACACTATATACAATAAAGTGGAATGTGGTCCAAGAGGATAACTGGATAGATAACTGTACATGTGCAATGTTTTAAGGTATTAAAAAAGCAAAAACAAATCATCAAATCATTCCTCTTACCACACTCCTGGTAGGTCACCTGGTAGAGCTGGCGTCCCTTGTCCATGGGTTCGAGTCTGACCTGTGGCTCTTTGCTGCGTATCATCCCCTCTCTGTCCCTTTCTATCTTCAGCTGTAACTATCAGTTGAAGGCAATAAAATAATGAAATAAATAAAAGCCCCCCGATACTTCTGTAAAAAAGATAATACCCATCTGTTCTATCCTGCTGCCATCTGGCAAGAAATACAGAAGTATCCGCTGCTGTACCAGCAGACTGAGCAGCTTCTTCCCTCACTAATGTTCCCCCTCCTTCCTTACCTCAACTGTCCCTGCCCCACACACCCTCACTTCCCTTTTCCTCTTCCTCTCCACCCTTAACCCTTCTCCTTCATCCCGCCCCTGGCAGGAGGAGGAGTCCCCAGACAACGGGGAGCTGAGGAGGGCAGAGAGTTCCCCCACGCCTCTGAAGAGAGATCGCTCCTTCTCGGAGCACGACCTTGCCTTGCTCCGCAGCGAAATGCTTCCCTCGCTCTCAGAGTCAGCCCAGCTGGGCGAGGTGGTCAGGCTGAGGGGTGAGAGGCCTCGTTCCAGGACGCTGACCGGCACCAGGCCGCCACCTGATCACAGAGGTCAGTATGCAAATTGTAGATTGATGATGCTTGGTGTCAGTTCTTTAGTGAATGAATGCTTATTTCTTATAGAACAATACACAACAACAAGCTTTTTGGAATTTTGAGAATTCAAGCATTCCAAATATAGGGAATATCAGCAAAATGTATAATGGCTCCTCCTCCTGCCAGGGGCGGGATGATGTCTGGTTGCTTCGACATATTGATGAAATGGTGGTTGCTATGTCTGTATCTGTGCACACTCTGCCTTATTCTGTATACTGATTGATATTCTGGCAGTCTCCGCCCACATGTGTTTTCATTTGTTTTGTGTTGTTGACTTTATTTAACTCTTTATCTCACCTCTTAATGCTTAACTGGCAGAATGGGCAATCTGCAACACTGCTGCCCACTGGCAGCTTCGGAATATTCCTGGAAGCTTTGGATATTGCTCCCCTGTCTGTCTGTTATTTTGGAATGGTAATTGGTACTTTATGTCTATTGTCTGTTTATTGTTAGAAGAAAAGTGAAAAATAACTTCTTTTTTTTAAAACAAAAGCTACAACGCATACCTCTACACCTTCATCCTGGGAGTATTAGGGTTCCCAGAAAATGAAATAGAATTAATTGTGGAACATTTCAAGTGTAGTGATCAGAATGATATATTATATCAGAATAAACTCCTTGAGATCATCTCATTTTCAAGGGGTCGCGACTAATGACCACTGAGTGAGTCACCTTAATTACCACTGAGTTATGGCCATTTATCATATTGCCATAGTAACTTGAAGACAACTTGTCATTATATTTTTGTATTATGTACTTTGGATTGCATGGATTCACTTTGTGCATGTCATCTAAATTTATAACAAAATCCTCTGACATACCACAAACACATGATTGACTTTTTTTGTGTGGTATTCCAGAAATTCCATGTACGAAAACTTGGACGAAACTAAAGAGTATTGCTGGAAAAAAAAAATGTGGAACATCTGTTCAGGTTTGTGGGGGCATAGAGCCATTGCAGGGGGGCACACATGACCGGGGGGGAAAAAAGAGTTAAATAGACCCTTTTCAAAATAGACATTTTGGCTTGTCAAACACTGGGTCACTGGTGGTGAAGGATGGGTGCATTGTAGAGATCACATATGTAATGTGCTCTTACTTCTGTTTGCAACCTCACATAACCTCACTGACAGCAGATCAGAGCTATGTCATATATAGATATAAATAATAGAGTGATGTAGCTCACTAGACAAATTACTTCACATGGATCTTCCTTGGGTGACATATTGTAAAGAATGCTGTTGACTACTTGAAAAGAGTTATTTTCTTACTATGTTTGTGATATCTTTCCCCATTTTGAAACCTGTGCAGTATATTTAATGTTTTAATGGTGTAACTGTAGGTCAAGTCTGGCTGTAGTCTACAGGGCTGAAGATCCCAATTTAGACTGTGATTGCGATTAAATAGATCATTAGATCATGATTTTCTTTTTTGGGCCAGGTCGCCCACACCTCTGGGGGCGCCCGGTAGCTCACCTGGTAGAGCGTGTACCATGTACAGTATGAAGGCTTTGTCCATACCGCTGCAACCCAGGTTCGATCAGTTGATCCAGTTTGTTTAACTTTCCACCAAATGTCACTGAAAGCAAGCTGGCTCACTGTCACACTGTTGTGGTTTACTAGGACACTTGAATAGAACAGAGCCAACATTACGGCTCAACATTTCTTTTAGGGCTGGGTGGCAGTCTGGATTACAGCATGTTCATTTGCTCTAACGTAGCTGTACACTTCTGTTTCCATTACAGTTATTCTGAACCAGGCTTCATTGACATTCAGGAGTCTGCAGTGAATGACTCCCAACCTAACACTGCTGCAGCTCATGTCCGTGGTTACATTCTCCCATTTGGCTGAAAGATAGTCAATGAGATCATCCGCTGTGCTGTTTTCTTGCAGTGAAAACCTGCAGACTCTCTGCCTTCTGCTGCAGATGATTCACACTCGCTGCACTTTTAATTCTCCTCCCACAGAGGGAGACACCTCGCTAGTTATATTGCAGCACAGTCTGCGGTTTCCACTGTCTGTATATTTATTATCTGAATATATTTACATATAATTTGGCCCTAAACTATTTGGCCACAAACAGTTGGTCTCCCTTTAATCAAAACTCAGTGTTTCTTCTTGTCCCTACAGTGCACTGTCTGAATGCTGTCTGTGCAGAGTTTGACTCTAGAAAGATGTTTTCACATTCATCTGCTGAAAGTGGAAAGTTTCTCTGTGCTCATTGAAAATCTGATTTTAAGGGGCGGGGCCTACCAGCATGATTTGTGACATCACAAATAGTCTGGAAGTCAGTCCTGGTCCAGTGTGCAACTTGTACAGTGTGATGTAAAAAACCTGAAGCCACCAGTGCACATCCACTGATAGAGGACTTTACAGTGAAGTAGGAGACATCTTGTGTCCAGCAGCAAAACTTTAGATATCAACAACATTTGCATATTCAGAGATTCTGGAGGTTTTAATGAGGTAGAAGGGGGAGATTACTTTTCAGGATGTGGAAATTTTACTTCTTGAACAAAACATGTCTGTCACACATTATTCTTCCAAGCAGACTATTTGTATATATGTCTTAACTGACTGACGGAGTGCACTTAGATCATTGATACAGGGGCACCTAGTCTAAACACCCTTTGAGAAGTCTCCAGCCCCTCTGGCCTGAGGTGTGGAAGGAACGCAGTAGTGCATTAATTAGAAAGCCATGACAAAAACCCAACAACTACTTACTGTTTCCATACCCTTATATATAACTATAGAATTCAATTGAAAGTAAAATGTTTTTCAACCTTCTAGGCAATAAAATCATTGACTTGTGGAGACATTACATCCCCACTGCTTCCAATCTATACCTCAAGCACCAACCTTTTTAAATTACTGTTACGTCACTGAAATAGTGGTGAAGTCCTTAGTTGACAGGGACTCTGCCATGAAGCTGTTTGGAGTTTTGTGATGGATTCTAATCAAATATAAAGATGTGCTGATAAAGTGTAACTGAGTGAAGGAGGGCAGAAGCTAATGGGTTTGAATTGTGTGCTGCTGGGGGGAGGATGTTATCCGTTCGGTGGCCATGATTCATGCATTAGCAGCCCGGCCGGCCATATCCAGAGGTAATTGTTTGAAAAACAATCCTGACTTCAATCCACTCTGTCTCTAGATGGCTGCAAGCCGATCCATGCAGCTGAATGCCACAAGCCTTAGACAAGGCTGGATAATAGATGGATGGAGATTTATTATGTAGTACTTGACTTTACCAGCAGGGGCCTCTCCAGTCGTGTGAATGTGAAGACGTAAGCCTGTAAGCCCCGGCTGTCATCGGCAGCTGATCCAAATTATATGTACTGATGATGTTTACTGGCCTGTTCCAGCCTTCCCCTCAGCCTGTTTGCTTTCCATTAGAGCCAAATTGACACCTTCCATTTGCAGGATTGAAGGGGCGCCCAGTGTGTGGTCTGTTTTTTAACCCCCTCCCACTGTTGGTTAACTGAGCCTCTTCCGAGTTTCTCTTTTTGGCCGGACGCTGAGCAGACCTCTCACCGTGATCTAAGTTACAGATGCAGCAGCACAGGCTAAATCCCTCCACTGGAATCAGATGAATAATACATGACAGTGTTAGAGCCGATCGACAAGCACTCTGAAGGGCTGAGATCTGAGACGGAGCTGAATGAAAGAGGCCGATGTGTAATTCATAGACTTGTTAGACTGGGATTTGCGGCCTTCCCTCATTCACTCACTGAAGCTGTCCTCATTTGATTCGGCCGTATTTAGTTCCCCTGATTAGACACTCATTATTTCCTCTCTGTCTCTTTCACTTTTCATCAATTTGTCAACCCCAGCTTCCTTCCCAGTTCACGGCTGGCTGCCACCCTCCCCGGCTCGTCTGTCTCTGAGTTCAGTGGACGAGACCACGGAGGGATCAGAAACAACGTCTGGCTCCAGAGCTGGAGACGAGCACCAGTGGATGGTGAGTTAGAATTGCAGTCGGTGCTTTGCTTCATGTGAAGTCTCAGTGGTAATGAACATGCACTGCAAAAATATTTATCCTATCAAGTCACTTTTATCTATTATTGAGTCCTTTACTTCACGTAGTCCCCCCTATCTTCAAGCTGTCACCATAAAGGCATGAACCAACCCTCCCCCTTGTCAAGTTTTTGAAAATGCTCTCAAAAATGCTTCAAGTGGAACAAATAGAACCAAAAAAAAAACCCCACAATGCAATGTTTTCTTCATGTAAAAAATAAACAGACTGGTGGATCTCCTCCCTCCCTCTGCTGTGTTCAGGAGGAGTTCAGCCACCCCGTGGAGAGTCTCGCCTTGACGGTGGATGAGGTCATCAACGTGCGCCGAGTGCTGGTCAAAGCAGAGATGGAGAAGTTTCTTCAGAGCAAAGAGCTCTACAGTAACCTGAAGAGAGGCAAGGTAACACCGAGCGGAACTTCCCTCACTGCTGTTAATCACTGTGCAGTGTTTACTGTAAATGGACTCAGTAACTCTGTGTGTGTGTGTGTGTGTGTGTGTGTTTCTCAGGTTTGCTGCTGCTGCAGAGTGAAATTCCCTCTTTTCTCATGGCCATCTACCTGCCTACTGTGTAAAAGGTATCAAAGAAAGCTTTCATCTCACCTGTTAGGAATTTCTGAAGTGTTTACTCCACACGTCACGTTTCTCTTTAAATGCTGCTTGGTGTCTGTTCCAGGACCATAGCCAAGGCTCTGGCTAATCGTGAGGTCACGAGTCTCGCCAAAGCCCCATTTCTATTTTATTTATTCAGTTAGCTATTAGTCTGTTAGTATATTTAAAATAGAGTTTAATATACAGTAGGTCTACTGAAGTAAGTCTAAAAACACTGATACCATGCTATTCATGGTGCTGAAGAAGTGTAACAGACAGTTAAATATTATTTATTCTAATATTTTATAGAATTATAGAATATAGAATTTATAGAATTTATTATTGAGCGTGAAAATGAAACTCAGTGTGTAGTTAACAGTCTACAGCTTTCAGCTTGCTGACTGTTATAATTATTGTTACTTCATACAAGTTCAAGGCAGTAAACTTTAATAGATTTATCTGCTGCTGCTCGGGGCAGAGGTCACTCTTAAGCTAACATTAGACTGCTGTATGTCAGCGTGGGACAAACATATGCACTATACATAAAGAGAAAACAGAAAATGCAGCCTCGGTCATAACCTCTGTCAACTTCCTCCTTTCCTGTTCTCAGATATGCTATGTGCTAGGCTAATCTATGTTAAAAAGGCAACCACGTTTGAAGTGGAGATGCGACGTCCATCTTTTATATGTCGATGATATAGATATGTATATGTGGCTTTTATCTTTTAACCATCTTTGTGTTCTGCAAGACAATGTTAGCAAAACATGAGCTAACTAGCTAATTAAAAATGAATATAAATTAGCTAGCTAGTTAGCTCGCATTTTGCTAACATTAGCTTTCAGATTTAACTAGCTAGCCAACAATTAATGTAGATTAGCTAGCTAGTTAGCTAGTGCTTGCGCAACAACTGCAGCACGGAGCAAAAAGGGGCGGGACTTAGGAAGGGTCAGGGGTCATTTTGTGATACAATCTGGTAATCTGGTTGATTTCTTTGTGTTTCTCTCACAGATCAGTCTGCAGCTCCTGCAGTGCAAAGGTATTTAATAACTCCCTGTTAGTGATGGTCAATTAATCAGCGCTTTTTTGCTTTATTTTTACAAGTATGACTTATTTGGCTATGTATTTCGTTGTTAAGCAGTACCAAAATATGATTTAAAAGAGATATCGTACCACTTGCTAACATATTATTATTTCCATCTGTCAAGTACATCGTCTAGTGAAGTGTCTGGTATTTCTGTTGACGTCAATTCTTCTGTTGTTGGTTTTGATTTGTCGCCTCAGTCCCAGGCCGTGTTGGATGAGTGGTTCTGTGCTCTGTAGGTTTGAGATTCAGGCTGTTTGCTTTTTTTGTTTGTTTTTTGTGATTCCGAATTAGTGTGTAGTGCTGTTGGGGTGCTGTGACTCATTTGTGTTGTGTAACATGATTGGAGTTTATGTTTATTGGAATCTGTGTGATTGCTTAGGTTATATGTTCATTTGTGACTGTGTGACTTATATGAGCTAATGGTTGTGTTTATTTGGTGTGTCAGTGTGAAGTTTATAGTGTTTGTTTATGTGAATGTATTGGTTGTATTCAGAGGCTGGATAAATTCTTGTAATACTGCCTTTTCACTGTTTCTTCTCTTTTCTCCGTCTCATTGTTTTCCTTTTGTTCCCGTTGCTGCAGATGAAGATTCCCTCGAAGAAGATGGCCCATATTCCTGTGTACACCGTAGGCTTCCACAGCACTCCAAAGAGCCATGGACACAAAAGCCAAGTCTATAAGTGAGTCTGCGTTTGTCTATAGAGCCACCAGAGAGACCGTAAAAGCTGACTTAAAATGAGAGATTTGTACATAAATGAACCCAAAAAGATTGTATGGCACACGAGTGTATTTTGCAATGAAGAGTGACAACTAAAACATCCAAACAATAAGACAAAAAACAAAGTTTGATGACGTGGTGAAGTAGCGTTGGATCATGGGAGTTGTAGTCTTGACCAACATTGCCTTCAGTGTTCATGGTTCAGGAGGTTTCTACCAGGAGCCCAATGATCCACAGAGGTCTCCTCCTCTCCAAAACAAACAGACCCGCTGATTAAAACCACTAAACACACTGAATAAAGCAGTTCCACCTTAACAATCACTGCTTCTCCCACACTGTTGGACAGACAAAGGACGTCCTGGAGGGGCTGCGAGCCGAGCTAATGCTAACGTTAGCTCAGCTTGTTTCTCTGATAACTTAAGATCCAGACGTCCGATGACTAAAATCCTTCATCCGGTTCAAATCTAGAGTTAAAAAGCACCAAGATCTAAACAGTGGATGGTAACAATGTGGCTTCAGACTGGATAAACAGTCAAAGTATGACAGCTTCTGACAGACAACCACAACGCTGACGCAGGCACAAAGGGGATATGACGCCATTAACAAGAGTTTATTATTATATTTAGAGTTTATACACTGTTTAATGATTATAGATTATTGATTGACTCAACTACATATAGAACATAGAGCTAGAGTTTATACACTGTTTAATGATTATAGATTATTGATTGAATCAACTACATATAAAACATAGAGCTAGAGTTTATACACTGTTTAATGATTATAGATTATTGATTGACTCAACTACATATAGAACATAGAGCTAGAGTTTATAGATATTTTAATGCGGTTAGTGGTTAGGTTAATGAACACATCAGCCTGGCTATTTTCTTTATAATTGAATATTATTTATATATAATTGTTTTGACTTTCTGTGTGTCGTTTCCAGAGTGCACTCAGGTAAAGTTGACTTGACATTTGGAGGGACTCCCAGCTTGTGACACAGACACTCAGGCCCAGTTTACCCTCAGTCCTTTGAGCCGGTCACGATGCTTGTTCAATCCAAGGACAAAGGCACACCTTGGGTTAAGAACACAGGTTAAATCTATTTAAGTCTGCCACTTCCTCAAGCCACTGATTGCTAACCTTCTCCAACCTAAGCAGATACAGCCTCTGTGCTTACCTCAACCGACTCAATCCAATCACCAGTGTCCCCCCCCCTTTGTTATGCAATCAGTGCAGCGCCATTATATAATAATTACCCAGCTGTCATTAATATCCTCACTCATTGTGCCTGCGTGAAGACAGACATGGAAGTGAGAGTAAGAGCTGGACGGAAAGAGGGACGGGCGAGAGAGCTAGACAGTGAGTTAGAGAGAGAGAATGCGGGTGTGGTGTCGTGCTGATCTGCTGTCTAACACACAGGTGTCATCACATCACATCAGCACCCTGGCGTGCAGCTCTAAGGACAGAAACAGTAGGTTTTATAACAGCAAATGTTAGTGCTATTTTAATCAGAAAAGATTAAGAGATTTTTTTGGTTACACAATTTACCATGTTGTGTTTATATTTAATAAGCTTAGAAAGCCAAACAAGATAAAGTCTAGCTTTATTTTTCCAGATGCCCAGCTGATTTACTGTGAGAACTGGGCTGCTGTATGTATCTGTTGAACACTCACTACTAATCCACTTGTATTACATTTAAAAGGCTGCCACAACAAAGATTAAATTCCAAGTGGCACAATTAACTCTGAACAAGGGAACGGTCAAATACAACATAAGGAAGAAATGACATTAAAATTACATGTTTTTGACATTACATTATTCATGCTGTTGTTTTTATGATTAAATTATGGTAATAAGTGTAAATCTCCTGTTGATGATTATTATCAAATGAAAGAGCCCTTCTCACAGGAAAAGTATTATTATTAAGTTACATTAATAATAACTAAAAGCAATTTTATATATCAAAAATGCTTAGATCGGGTGGAATCGTGGAGTTTTACAATAAATAAATATAACTTCTTTGTTACTCTACTGATCTAATTAGGATATTACGTAAGAGTTAATCCCACCCCGCAAAACTTAATGTAACATAACTAGGGCTGCACGATATGGTAAAAACCTCATATCGTGATTATTTTGACATATATTGCCATTGCGATATGATTCATGGGACTGATCATTTTTGCATCACAAATTGAATTTTCACTGAAAAAACTATTAAAATGATGTAAAATTGTTAAATCTGGAGAGCGGGATTTGCAGCCCAGGGCATCTCATTAAAACTACAGTATTTCATTATAATGCAGTTTTGTCACACATTTTACCTTTATCAAAGAATGTCGGCTTCCTGCGATTTGAATATTGCACTGGGCCATATTGCCATTTCGATAATATTGCAATTGATTGTGCAATCCTTAACATAACTGTAAATGGGTATACTGAAGTGCCAATTTGGTCATTATCTGACAAATAAAAATAGGGCTGTCTCTTTGCATAGGGTACTTTATTTGTCCTGGAGTGTGATGGACAGTCAAAAGCAGCTAGCTGGCTGTGCATTTAGAGTTATTTTCTTTTACTTAGCATTAGTACTTCCATAAAGCTGGGGGACTTTCAAGAGACAGATTAAAAAATAATTCTTTAGTTGGACTCAAAACTTGAAAATACTGTATTCCACATTTTCCATTATCAGACTGCATAGCATCTTTTTAATGAGGCCTAGTCACACCAGAACTTTGCACCATGGAGTTTGTCCTCACAGAGTATATGGTTCTAGAAGCTTGGTGACACAGTGAACTTGTTAATGAGCAAACTACAGTGGCTGGTGAGCTAAGCGCTAACAGAGAAAAAAGAAGCTCGCTACTGGAGTTGGTCGCTAACCGGACTGTAGGTTAACAGAGTTTATGCAAGAGATGTGCAGTACCATTGTCTCATGAATGTCTATAAACTGTGCCTCTTTTTGTGGAGCAGTTTATGCTCCAACAGAAGAGCCTGAAACAAAAGTGCATGGTGTAATACAGCTGATAGGCTATGATAGTTCCCTCTGTCAAGACTATTTGCTTTTGGTCAATAGCGCAAATTTTCATGTCAAATTTCACTATAGTTGAACTTCTGCGCATTTTAGACAGAAATTCCATTGAAATTAATTGAGTATCCTTCTGTTTTAAATGCAGTTGAGAACTGGCTACTAAACCTAATTTTCTCAGATTTAAAAGCTGATAATGTCCTCTGGATCTTCAAAAGTCAATCCAAAGCCCACCCAATAATCTCTCTTAAAATGTCTTAAATATGATTGACAAGTCTTAAGAATTGATTGGATTAATGAAGTCAACGTTACTTGTATAAAGTTGCATTTTTCAGTCTCTCTTTTTAAATGTGTTTTTGGGAAAGGTTTGTATTGCTCAAGCTGTAACAACTACAAAACGATTGGAACCAACACTCATTTTTCTTCCTATCCTTTATACATTGTTTATTTTTGTTGCCAGTATGGATGTAAAATAAGTCTTTTATTTAACCTGTTGGAACCTGCAGAAACCCTGTGCTAAGTCAGATTTGTTCCATTCATTGATATTAGTCAGAAATAACAGGGAAACTCTATTACATCACACTGGTATGTTTACCCCGTGCTACACTTTTAGATTGTATTAATTCATATAAAATATTAAAGCTTTAACAATCCTCTCTGTCTGCAGGTCCCTGCGCAGCTTGTCCCGCCGCTCAGTGGAGGAGGAGTTCCCCCACCTGTATGCTCATGGCTGCACGCTGCGCGACATCTGTGCCGAATGCACCAAATTCATCGCCGATGTCATTTCCTCCAGCCGCCGGAGCCTGGACATCCTCAACAACACTCCCAAGAGGGAGGCCAAAGCTGCTGCTGCTGCTGCTGCTCAGAGACCACAGCTGCAACGTCAGTCCCACCTCGAAAATTGTCCTCAACCAAATCCTCAGTGTCACCCTCCACCTCACCCACAGCCACAGCGTCACCCCCAGATCCGTCCCCAGCCGCATCATCAACAGCAGCGGCTTCATGCGCCATCGTCGTCTCCTTCACTGCAGCTCCACGCCAAGACCATCAACAATGTGAACCAATGAGTAGACTGACTGACACTTTATTCCCTTCTGCCCCCACACACACACACACACTCCTTGATGAGTTGTTCTCCTGCACTACACTGTGCGCACACACACAGACATGCACCAAAAATGTAGGGTTCTTTAAGGGTTCTAGTGGTTACATGCACATCCCTAATGACTCAGCGAGCCAGCTGATTGGTTAAATAAATATAAATAATAAATGAGAATACATAATCCAGTGAGGGTCCTTATTTAAATATTGCTGGGTTGGAGTATTAAATAGCTGGAGCAGTTATGCTATCACATATAAACCTACGAACATTATCTGGAGCTGTGTAGAACCCTTTTTAGTAAGAATCTAGTGACTCTAAGCCACCACCACCTTACCCATCAGCCAGTTCCCAACTATATTATCTTCCATATCTCTCCCAACAGATGCGCTCACATACACACATCATCACAGAGCGCCCCCCTGCCCCCACTCACTTTATAAGATTTGAGTAAGAGGCAGTTCTGTCTGTATCTGCCTTATCTAGAGCCCCATGACTTCACTCCCCAGCGCTCACAGCTGCTGGGAGGCAAGCATATGGGGGGAGAGGGCAGATGCGGAAAGGTGGTTGGGGGGGTATACACTGTGAGGGAGGAGGTGGCGGTTGGGTTGGGTGGTGGTTGTTTGAGGAGGGTAAAAGCTATACAGCTTAGAGTCAACATGTAACCCTAGCATTTTGCTCTCTGTGGTTGCCTTGTTTTTTTTATCATGAATGTAATTTAGAGACACAGAAACAGAATTGTAAAATGATAAGCTCGTACACAGCATAATAACAGTTATTTTTAATCATCCAAAAAGGGATTTGTAACAAGTGGCTGCTGTATAACGAGGCCTCTTTTGGATTTACAGCTCGTAAAGTCCCAGATACAGCTGGATGGGGTATGATAGCGGCGACACTGAATGTAACGGGGCAAAGCTGCAGACTGCACCTTTAACTGACGCAGCATGATGGTGCTGATGTGAACGCGAGCAGACGAAACTCACGCCTCTCTCACCTCCCCATGGACGCTTGCAATCTGCTCTGGTTTTGTAAACACTAAGTAAACCTCAACTGCAATAAAATCTAATGACAAACACGACCAGTGCTGCTCCTGTGAGTTTTATTGTTCACTTGTGCATGCTGTGTTCAGCTGTTCTGTGTGGCTACATTACAGCTTCTGTGGTCACAGAGCTGCATTCATAAATAAATGGAAACATAATCTTTTATATTTCAGTTACCATTTGTAAATATTAAATATGCTAAAGTACAAGCAAAGGAACCTTGGTGGATTTAAAAAAACATTTTGTTGGTACAAAGTAACAAGAAGACAACAACAGATTTTTGACTGGGGGATGGTTTTAATCTAAGCCCCGGACAAAAATGTAAAATTAGCCAACAATTTGAGGAACAGCAACAATGGATAGAGGAACTGAGCAGGGACACTGTCTTGATTATAAACTAGGTAACAGATGAAGTCAGTACTTCCTCAATGTGTCACCATATTGCTGCAGATTCTTCACATCCATCCATTTTCATATTCCCAACATCTGTATGATGCACTTCTGGTGAGGGGCATGCCTATAAAACCCAGGCAACCATAGTGGGTCCTCTAAGGTTTAAGACTTAAGGTCTCTAACAAGCTACAGGCCCCCTAAGTCATTCAGATCCAAGCTTTACGCTACAATATTATGCATTGCTGTGTTTGACATTGATGAATAGACCCTTCCTTAGTCCCACCCCTTTTTGCACTGTGCTCCAAAAACAATGTTCTTAGGTATGCTATGTGCTAGGTTCGTCTATGTTGAAAACCACATTTTAAGAGATTAAAGAGACATTTGTAAAAGTTAGAAAGTTATAAAATATATAAAGTTATAAAAATGGCAGAGCAGGTCGTCCACTCATCGGAAGGTTGTTGGTTCGATCCCCGGCTCCTCCCGCCACGTGTCAGAGTATCCTTAAGCAAGATACTGAACCCCGAATTGCTCCCGATGTGTGTGTGAATGAGTTAGTGTCTGTTCGATGGACTTTGCCATCCCTGAGTGAATGTGTGTGAAAGGGTGAATGTGGCATGTAATGTAAAAGCGCTTTGAGTGGTCTGTACCAGTACAGGTCCATTTACTATTTAAAATTAGCTGGTTAGTTAGCTAGCTAGTTACCTCTGACAGCTAGCTAATTATAGATTAGATTGTAGATATGTAGATTAGCTGGTTATCAAAACAGTGTCTTGCTAACTTTAGCTAACGTAAGATGTGACAATAATACTATATATGTTTCCTTTATCTTTTAACCGTCTTCAAAATGTGTGTTTGTTTTTTTTTAAATAGTCGACCCTAGCATATAGCATAGTTAGGTACAAAAAAGGAGCCAGCTGAATGAGGTTCTAAAAGGGGAGGAATATTTCAAAATTGCTATATTTATTCAATTATTCAGTCAGAAGTGTTCATCTCAGCTGATTTTGGGGGTAAAGAGTTACATATCTTTCCTATTAACATCTTTTTTGACTATAAATGATATGAGAAGAAGAAGAAGAAAGGGTGCTGGTACTGGTCAGGCCCATTTCAGGCACTGCCTTTATTGGATACGTGGCAGTAGAGAGATGAGGGTTCCCCGGCTGCATGCACACCAGACATTGATGTAGCTCGATAGCTGCCAAGCTATGAAGGCTGCTGACATTGTTAACCCTGTCTACAAAGCTCTGATTGGTCAGCTGTCTGTCTAACTGGGGGAAACGGCCATCAACAGGCACAATACTAGACCTGTTGGAATCAGAAGGTTCCGGAGGTCTCTGACCTGGCTAATGAAATTAAGATTTATAACTATATTTTATTTTATTTCTCACATCTGGACTCATTTACCTATCCAGTGATAGTTATATATAGTTAGGTTTTCCATTATTCAATTAATCAAGTTTACACAAGATAGGATTCTCTTTTTATTTTTGTACCATAACAAGTAATGTTCTGTTAAATACACTCAGTTATCACCTCATTAGGTCCTATAATGAATGCAGTGTAATAAAACAACAGTAAATGTTTCCTAACGTTCCCTTGTAGGCATGCTTTAGAGAGATGTTGATTCATTTTGGAGGCTGTAGTTTGTGGTGCTGTTAAATAGTACAGATTTATACTGACAGGTGTTTCAAATATTCTGTCTTCCCACAATGGCCGAAAAGCTGAGCTCTAGTCATAGAAAATGAATGAGGGTGAATTGACCTCTTGGTAAAATGCTCACAGATGTGACTCCACAACTCTGCTGGTGGTGAAGAACAAAGGCACAGGAAATGAGAGCCCATGTTGTGACTCCATTGGAGGGCAGAATTATGAATGTGGCATTGAAACTTACTTTTACAGTTATAATCTGTGGAAGAGTTTTTTCAGCGGGGCCAGAGTCGTATTTCTAAGTGACACCTGGTAATCATGTGATCATCTACATAAGACTACATCAAGAAAATCCATCTTGATTTTCCTGTGATCACCACATTCTTGTTCTGTGACACAATAAATTGGTTTTGACAGTTTATACATAGAAAGAAGACTACAGGGTCTTCGGTGTGGGGTGGCAGCTGCAACTCCTCAAAAGTACCTGGCCACCCCAGTTGGGTGTCAAAATGATCATGTTCATTTAGATTAAATGTCCAGTGTGTAACATTTAGGAGGAGCTATTGTGGAATATTGTGGAGATTATGGAATATAATATTCATAGCTATGTTTTCATTAGTGTATAATCCCCTTAGAATTATTAAGTTTTTGCTACCTTAGAATGAGCTGTTTTATCTACAGATGCCACAAGTTGCCTTTCGTTCCATGTTGACTGCCATGTTTCTACATTAACCCAGAATGGACAAACCAAAAACTGGCTCTAGATAGGGGTATTGATGTTTTTTGCACATTTTGTGGCCCCTGTAGTTTCTCCCTTTTGCTTGGAAAGGGGGTGAACTACACTACTAAATTCCAGTAAATCCTACACACTGGTCCTTTAATTTTGAAAATAGCATGTTAAAAAATGGCAGTTAATTTTATGATCTGTTCAGTGAGAGAAGATATTTGGAAAAATGTCAGAAGAAATGGAAATAAAACAGTTTATTGATTTCTAATGCCACCTAACATTTTATTATTATTATTATTATTAATAATAATAATAATAATAATAATAATACTAATAATAATATTTTTGAGTTCATGAGTTTATGTTCACTTGAGGGCTTTTCCAAACAAATACATATATCAATATGTGATTGTTTGGGATTAAATCATCATATATTTCTGACACCCCCTTAATTTCACTAGATCCACGCCTGGATGCTAATTTAGTTCAGATTAATATACATACTTACAAAATTACATACTATAATTACATAATACATTTTATTAGAATAGCTCTATAAAATCATCATGATTGTATACTGATATAATGAGCTGTTATTGGCTTTAAGGACAATGAACACAGTGGATTGCCAGTTCCATTTGACAGTTTGCCTTTGTGAGTGGTAAACTCACCAACAGAGAAGTTCTGTTGGCTTTCTACTGATGGGAATGGCATTAAAACCTCCAGAATATGACAACAACAGGTTGTAGTAGGCAGCAGTATCCATTAATAGAGCCAACACAGTGAGTGAGTGAACTTAAGAAGGCTTTGTCCCCAGTCAGTGGATCTATAATGCGTCTATGGACGCCCCGCCTCTATCATCATGAATAAATAATCTACAGGTCTACATGTCTATTGGCTGTCTTTGTCATCCGGCTCTTAGTTTACTCTTCAGACAGACAAGCCGCGTAAAGATGGAATGAATTTGACAGATGAAACAGGAAGTTGATTGATTATTCTTCCAAATAAAAGCGTTAAATGATCAAACTTTCAATTGTTTCGTGTTTATTAAAGACTCCCTCCAGAGATGTGTTAAGACACATATACAAATAGTCTGCTTGGAACAATAATGTGTTTTCCCGCAAAAAAAAGTATCTACTCCTTCTACCTCATTAAGAATTCCAGAATGTATGAACATGCAGATTTTGTTCATTTCTTCACTGTAAAGTCCATTTTCAGTGTATGTGCACTGGTGGCTTCAGGTTTCTACATCTTTCCACAGCATTTTTTTTTCAGCCTGTGTTTTGTGCAACTGTAACAAATGTGTTTTTTGTTTACTTTGTCCTCACAGTGGTCTTCATCATCACCATCACTGTTTACATTTATGATGTCTTATTTATTCGCCTGTACAGCACTTTGGTTGTTTTTAAAGTGCTTAACAAATAAAGTTGGATTGGATTGGATTACATTCAGTGACTGCATCGCCAAAGAAAAAATGCTTCTTCTGAATTAGATCTGCAATGATTTGTTAGTTGTCAACTATTAAATGGATGCGCAACTATTTTAATTATCAATTAATCATTTTGAGTAATTTTATGTAAGAATAAATGCCCAAATTCACAGAATTCAGCTTCTCAAATGTGATTATGTTCTGCTTTCTTTAGTCCTCTATGACAGTAAACTGGTTGTGGACAAAACAAAATAGTTTAGGACGTCACCTTGAACTTTGGGAAACGTTTTTCACCATTTTATGGACAGAACTAGTGAATTAAAGCTGCAGTAGTTAACTTTTTGAAATTTTTTCGTCATATTTGCTGAAACTCTCACTATTTCACTATCACTATTGCATGCCTCATGTACTACTGTCAGGATAACGTGAAGGTCAGCAAATATGACAAAAAACATTTTTCATAAAATGTACATAGTGCAGCTTTAATCGAGAGATATTGATATATAAAAATAGATTCATTGATAATGAAAATAATCGTTAGCTACAGCCCTGGTTTGGACAGCCAGCCAGCTGACTCATAAATGCAAGTAAAGACACAAACTGCATATTGGTTCATTAGTGTCCGCATCATTTCTGGGGGGGACAAAGTTTGCAGTTGTTTTAATTTGCTTAACTCCTAAAAACGGATTTCGTAGTCATTTATTTTATTTTGAAAGGTTTGAACGGATATTCTCTTGTTTCATTCTCGTTAACTTTCCAGTGGAAGTCGGACAGCTTTAGAGCCTGAACTCAACAACAAGCCCTCGGCTGGCCCGTCACAGCCAGTTGTTCTTTTCTTTTTCCTCTCCCTCTTTTTTCTGGGAGTCCTCCTGCTTTCCCTCCGCCTGCAGCCACGGTGTGAGTGAGTGGGTGTGTCGATGCGGGCCAGTGTAGCCTAGTCGCTGCTTGTGCGCACTCTGAAAAAGAGGAAAAAGTTGATGATGAGTTTAGTGTGAAAGCGGCCCGCCTCAGAGCAGGCTAACCGTCCGGGAATGGCAGTTTGGACCAGAGCGGACAAAAACGGCCAACTGGACCTTCTGCTCCGCGACCGCTGGATCCGAGTGGCCGCCGAACTCACCCGAGAAACGCTGACTTTAACGGCCGAGGCAGAGGTACCCGGACAGGGGGGCAGTCACTGGGACTACAACAACTCTTCGGCGGGCCTGCGAAATGGCATGTCGAACGGAAACGACCCGGGAACGAGTCCGGGGAACCCTGGCCGCGGTCTGTCCTCGGGTCAAGACCAACTCCAGAGCCAGAACCACGGGGGTCGGGGGCGCAGCGGAAGCCCGGGGCGCGGGGGTACCAGTCGGGGTCAATACGACGGCAACTACGGTCTAAACAGCCCCGGGAAGTACCCAAATAACGGCACAAACTCTGACTTTGGAAGCCCCGGCTCCAGCTACGGCAGTCCCGGGTCCAGCTTCGGGTCGAGACAGGGCGACTTTCCCGTCAGTCTGGACGGCTCCTCGGAAGCGGTTCGGAAAGTCCGAGTTGTCAAACAGGAGTCCGGCGGGCTGGGGATCAGTATCAAGGGGGGGCGCGAGAACCGGATGCCCATCCTCATCTCCAAGATCTTCCCGGGGCTCGCCGCCGACCAGAGCCGGGCTCTCCGGGTGGGAGACGCGATCCTGTCGGTGAACGGGAACGACCTCCGGGAGGCAACGCACGACCTGGCGGTACAGGCGCTTAAGAAGGCCGGGAAAGAAGTGACGCTGGAGGGTAAGTTGGCCAACGCGAGAGCGGGGACTAGCGCAGGCCGAGATTAGACTACTGTGGTCGGGCTACACACCTCTGTATACTATTGGCACGGCTGTCAGCTGGGGTTGCTACTTTTAATACACACAAACACACACCTTGAAAGTGAACTTGCAGTACTCTATCAGACCGAGACTGAAATGTGAAATATTTGTAAGCAATCTGAAAAATGGAGCATGCAAATAACAACAACATTAAGTTAAATACACCAGTTGCTCTATCCCCTGAAGAGTAACTGGTGTTAAGTAAATACATGAATAGCTTTAAGGTATATTTTAAGTGGTTGCCAACCTTTTTCCTTCAGGGAGCTGACCACAGTAACAGCAGGAAGTTTGTGTAAATGATAGGAGAGATGTTGGATTCATTTTGAGCAGATTATTTCCTGTTAATATTGATCAGAGAGGAGTTTTGCTATTTCTGTTCACTTTTTATTCAATTCTCTGTCTCTATTGTGTATTTTCTATTTAGGGCTGCACAATGAATCGAAATATTATTGACATTACAATAGACAAATCAGCAGAGCTGCAGTGTTTTGATAAAAGTAAAATGTATGACAAACAGCATTATAATGAAGCACTGTAGTGCTGCAGAGGTGCCCTGCTCTACAAAATGTGTTCTCCATATTTAAGAAGACATGTTTGTTTGGTGCAGACCCCCACACATCATAATCATGATTGTAATAGTTTTTCAGTGAAACCCCCCAGGTTGGGAACCACTGTTCTAATTGAACTGATGCTAGATAATTCTTAAGACTTAAGATGATTCATTCATCATCAACTCCACACCTTTGGCCCTGGTAGGATGCTATCACTTAAAGCTTGTTGAACTGTCTTGATCAGTGGTTTTCAAACTGGGGTCCAGGGGTCTTTGAGTGGGTTGTAGGGGGTCCCCAACAAAAGCAGGAATAGAATATTTAAACTTTTCTCAAATTTGGAAGTTGAACCGACAAAGAGAGAAAAGGGGTCAGCGGCTTCTATTGATCGGGATTTATAGTGATCCTAATTTGATCATTGATTGACCGTGAATCTATTCCATGATATGAAAAAGCTTGTCTAGAAATCCACACATGTTCTGTGTGTTTTTAACTTTTGCCACACAAAAAAAAATCATAATTTCTCTAACACATTATGGTACAGAACAGCAGAAATACAGACAAAAACAAACAGGCTCACAGTCACAGCTGGGGAGGAGGAGGAACTGGGCTTAAAGAATATCAACAGAACAGAAAGCTTTTGATTAGTGTAAACAGGAAAGTAACCACAGTTGTGGCTTCAGTCAGAGTTAGATACATTGTACTCTGTATTTGAATGGCTGTGGTTTGCTAAAGACAAGAGGTCACTGTAAACATGAGCAGATGAGATTTGTCTGTCTGTGTGACTACACTGACACTGACACTGACACTCTCCAGGAAAGAGACAGAGCGAGAGAAAGAGGAAAACATGTAAATGATCTGTGGGGAAATCACCAACACAAAATAGAATATCACCAATTATATCTCACGAGAAGTATAAAGCACAAAGTGTATTTACTGTATAAACGTGTCCGAGACAACAGCAGTGGAACATGCTGACTGTAAAGGATATGATAAACATGTATGGGTCGATTACTGTATGTGAAAAGATAAAATGAGGTCATAAAATGTGTACTCGCTGCATTTAGAGGATGATGTACACATGAGACTTTTGCACCAGTGTATCAACATTTCTATTAATTTGGCCAATATCAGAATTAGGAATAATATCTGGGGTCCAGTATCATTTTTACTTCTCATATAGGACAGACTGTGGAATTAGCATTTATAAAAATCTTCTTTCTAGTCTTGTTTTTTTTTATAATTTATTGTCTAATACAACTAAATACATAGCACAGAATGAAACCACTGTGGCTTATTTTGAGTAAAACAACAACTGTGTGACCTACATAAACAAACAAAACCATTAGCGAGAACCTTTCTATATAGTTATTCTATTTCTATATAGTTATTTGTAGGGGTGCAACTAATCACAAAACTTGGAACTGTAATGTACAATATACTACTGTAACTAGAAAATCATGTTGAAACTGATTACATCAGCATTTCTAAGTAACAATTATAAGTGGCACCTACTTAGTTTTTTAAGTTACAGAAACATTCCTGATTAATAACTTTCTACTAGGTATTTTGTTTTTACAGTACAAAAGAATTTACAAAATTAAGTCACCATCATTTAAAATTACTAAAGCTAGCAATCAAGAATGTTTTTTACTTACAAATGTTTTGTTAGTTTTACAAAAAGTTACAGAACTTATCTGGTTTCACAGTGTGTATATATACTGTACAGTTTATAATACATATAATAGATTATTATACATTATAGAGTAAATACACTTTGTGGTCTCACTCAATGTCCCTCTCACATTCTGATCTGATTGGTTACACGTCATGAGTGATACCCCATCAACTCTGAAAGCTGCTGGTCCCCAGACGGACGGAGACTGGAATGTCACACTCTTATGATCGATTTCTGTGATTACAAGCATGCCAATTATCCATATCCATATCCATATATCTACACACCCACAATACATACATAGTAAAACACTATAGATGTAGGTTGCATGCTGTAGGTAGAGAAATGTGTTTGTTAGGTGACACGTAGTGGCTCATTATCAGAGTGAACAGAGCTCCATGGAGATGAGTTCACATCCTAAACTGCGCTAATGTAGAACAGTTCAATCTTTAGAAAAGTGGAAAAAGAGTGAATTAGAGGGAGAGAGGCCACAGAGCCCCTGGGGTTCGGAAACTTCTGGCCAGGAACAGCTAAATGCAGTGTTTAATGGTTTGGAATGAGCGCCGGATGAATACTGATGAGCATGAATTGTAGGAACTAATCAATGTGTGACACATTTGCACTCAAGTCAAAATGAGGTCTGTTTTGTACCTCCCAAAATAAACCAAGGTAAAATCCCCCAGACTCTTTAAGCCATCCACTGTGCTGATTAAATAAAAACCAGAGGCTCTGTATAAAAATGGTATCAACATCAGTTTTCCCTGAATCAGGTATGTATTACAGTCATAGGCAAATCACACATGCAAATATAGCACTGTAGAATTGCTTTCATGAAACGGGGAAATAAGTATAATTTGAAAACCGCTGGTGAAAGTTGTAACTGACATCGGTATAAAAACCATTTCCAGCAACCCTCAGGCATACACAGGAGGATGTGCTGCATCCTGCCACGGCCTCAGTCCAGGCATGGGCCTCTGTTTGGAAGAATGTGTCAGCTGCCTGTCACTGTTTGTCAGTCTGACAGGCGGCTAGCTATGTTGTTTGTGGACCGGCTCTTCCTCCCAGTGCTCTTTCTCATGCCGGGCTCCCACCGCTCTGAGAAAGAAACGGCAGTCAGACAGAACGAGGCTCGAGGTTCCAGACCGCTGTGCCGTGCAAACAATACACAAACCCCCAGATATTCTCACAATTAGCTTAGGTGGCCCACATTCCTGACCTCCGCTTGCATGTGCGTATTTAGGGCAAAGGTCAACACTGGCGGCTCCGGCTTGGGTGGTTCTTGCTGCTCCACACTTGCAGCACGCTTCAGTGACTTATATTTGCTGGTGCTGCACAAGAAGGGAGGAGAGAGTAGAGGAATACATCTGAGAAGGTGATTCATGCGATAGAGGGCAGTTTCTTGTTTTTTTATCATGGCTTTTCACCAAACTTATATGGTTCAAAGGTCAATTCTAGAAAGTCCTTATCTTATTCACGATGATTCAATCTTATTTGTTCTTATCCAAGACAGATAATCTTGTCAAGCATTGGATTATTAAACTTCAAGATATCCAAAGAAATTATGAGAATGTATGTTTTTAGTTTTTTTTGCCATTGATGAACTCTGATTGTAGGCTGTCATCTTGGAGCCCCCCCTCCAGTCAGAAATCAATGTCTCTTCTTGTTCCTACAGCGTGCTGTTTGAATACTGTCTGTGCAGAGTTTGACACTAGAAGGATATTTTCACATTCATCTGCTGAAAGTGGAAAGTTTCTCTGTGCTCATTGAACATCTGATTTTAAGGGGCGGGGCCTACCAGCATGATTTGTGACATCACAAATAGTTATAAAGTCAGTCCTGGTCCAGTGTGCAACTTGTACAGTGTGATGTAAAAAACCTGAAGGCCCAGTGCACAGCCGCTGAGAATGGACTTTTTGTGTCCAGCAGGGAAACACAATTTGCATATCTTTTATTATTTAATTTTTAATGAGGTAGGAGGAGTAGATGCATTTTTATGGATGTTATTTTGGGAGAAAAACATATCAGACACACATTATTGTTCCAAGCTGATTATTTTAATACATGTCGGGAGGGGATCTACTGTATATATTTCAGGGTGGTTTCACTGTCCAAGGCTGTAGGGATGAATGAATTCTTCTTAAACTGCCCCATAAAAACATGACGTACATATCCCAGACATTACACGCCACATGTTACTCCCCCTCCCCTCGCCAGCTGACTGATAGACACAATATCCCATATGTCCAAATGATTAGTTGCTGCAGCAGCCCCTTGTGTCTTATTGGGTTAGCCTGCTGGTCAGTGGAAGGAGACACAGGATGAGGCCTTTGTGCAAGTAATTGGAGGGATAAAAACAGCACATACCAGACACAGAGGCTATTGATGAAACGGGGACAGCCCTGACGAGGAACAGTTCTTTTCTTTTGTTCCGGGGCCAAAACTAGCTAACCATCCGCTCACTGTGTCGTTCGCTGGGGCGAGATTTGCCACGGAGCATGAGTCTGCACAGCCTGAAATAGGGCATGCCAGTTTGTCAGCTCTGCCTCAGTATGAACTCCACTGCCTTTGATATCCATCTGTAGATGTTTTCAAGAGAGGTTTAGATGGCCTCCTGGAATGTGACAGAAACTTAAATTTGAATTACATGTGTTTGCATTAGTTGGGCAGATGCCAAGACAATAAACTTTTTAAACA